TTCTCTTTCCTGATCCTGCAGGTGGCACTGTAGGATCAAGCAAAACCAAAGCAGAAATCAATGTAATTTCATTCATGGGAATGGGATTTCTATCCAGTTCTATTTAGTCCTGTGGGGCAAGTATTCACAAAGAGAATTCTTCTGTTCCCCGGACTTGTCTTTAATATCACACTGGTGTTATTTATCAAAAATCACTGCACTTTTAAAATTTGAGTTTTGCCTTTTCTAAATTGAGTTTTTGAATGTTCTGCCTTTTTTGAATTGAGGTTTTTTTTTAAAAAAAGGAATGACAGGTAATGTGTAAATTCATAGCTATGATTGCAATTTAATCTTTAAATAATTCAGAGCAAATATTTTAATGTCATTTCTCCTCAACCTTCCAACACATATACATACACACAGAAACCTGGAACAGTGTTTTTATCTTACATCAAGGGAAACAGTGTGAATGTGTAAATGCCCATCAATCTAAGAATGGAACCAGTGGGGATGGTGTTGTGAAGGGGAAGGTCATAATCCAAAGCCAGATGGGAAAAATAACAGAAAAATCACACTTCAAATAATAATGTCCAAGGAACAGGGTCTTTAAAAAAAAAAAGTATCTCTAGCATTAAAAAAAACGAACATGTGAAGAACAGGAAGCCTTAATTTGACTTTTTGGGACCTGATTGAAATTTGTCAACCAACCTTTTCAGACTTGAAGATTTCTAACCCTTTCCAATTTCTGATTGAGATTAACTTAGAACAGAAAGCAAAGGCAAGATGTTTATAATACATTCTTGCCAATGTAGGATTTATTATTTATTAAACTCTCATGAAGTCCCACATGGGAAAGCACCTTGTTTAAAGGGCAGCATTTTGTTTGTCTTTTGAGCAGGAAGGTGGATCATTCTAGTTATAACTATGTAAGTCTAGGCATGTTCTTCCATTCGACACAACTGTAAGCCCTAAAGAACCGGTTAACATTTAGAAATTGAGGAAAATAAAAAACATTCATGTAATTTGAATTTTGTAAGGCGTTGACCTCTAGATCAATGTTTGGTAGATCTCTGATTGAAATTGAAAGCCAATTGGTGGTATATACTTGACAGTATTGTGTATGATCTGTGTGAATTATAATAGAATGGTCAGAGATAGCTTCGCCCATTTTATCCAGAGATATTCAGGCTTAAATGGATATCACTGTCACCAACCTATCTCAGAGTAAAGTATCTTGCTGGTTCTGATACTTCTCCATCAGTCTCTTAAGATGTGTGATTACATGTATGTAACTTTCCAGGGGCAGAGGATGGGGGCTGTACAAATTTTCAGTTTCGAAAGTTCCACGTACAAGACAGTTTCAGAATCACTCTAATTTATTGTGGGTTTTTTAAAATGAAAAAATAGGGAAATTACTTAAATGTTCCCTGGAAAATATGGATTCATTGGGATGAGAATCCAGTCCACAATGGCTCTGGGTAGATTCAGCTCCTGTGCTGAGATCCAGACTGTCTCAATAAAGTTTATCTTTCCACTTTACAAAATAGCTTAGATTCAGCCATCTGCCTAACCCCTGGTCTGTTTCACTGTTGTTATTGAATAGGTTGTAGTGGCTAGATTGACACATTGTGCTATGCCACAAACCATAAATAGCTGGTTTCATGTATTACATGAAACCAAAACCAGGCAAAAACTACTTTTAGTTTTAGCACGATGGGTGAAGCTAATAAATATTCTTTTTTTTTCTGCACTGGAAATGTCTAAGCTGAAATTTAGGGGTCAAACTTTATTCTCCCAGCTCCTCACCACACCCCATGCAACCAGAAGAGGTCTAGTGGTAATGGCTGTTCATGTTGTTGATATGAGATGTTGCCATGGTGCTGAAGGGCGTTGAAGCCTGCAAGCCATGGCTGGGATACAGGGCAGGGGCGGAGCCTGGCCAATAGGAGAAACTGGTTGGGGTCACTCCTGAAGCCATGATGTTGAGTTTGGAGATGCCAGAGAAGGGAAGGGGTGCCTGAAATTTGTACAAGGTGTGGTCAGGTGTGGCTGGCTGGCAGACCTGGGCCAAACCTTGGAAGTCAAACTTGTAGGCATAGCGCTTGCCATGAACCTTGGTCATGATGTTCTTGTCGTAATAGTAGCGCAGGGCCCTGCTCAACTTGTCATAGTTCATGTTAGGCTTGCTCTTGCGTTCGCCCCAGCGCCTGGCCACCTCATCGGGATCGAGCAGTTTGAATTCGCCATTGGTGCCCTCCCAGGCAATGCAGTTGAGGTTGGCCCGGTCCGAAAGCAGCTCCAGGAGGAATTGCCACAGCTGGATTTGCCCACTGCCTGTAAAACCAAGGGAGGGGGTTAGAGAAGCTTCCCCTCCCCCTCTGCCCCTTCCACTCCCCAATGAACATAGGAACCAAACAGAATCAGACACTTTGCTGCAAGTCCAGCTTATTGAGGTTGACAGCCGGAACAAGATATTCTGAAGATAAATAAGAAAAATATTAGTTGGAAAAGTTACCAGGGGAGAGAAAAAAAATGGAGGGGGGATTTGGAAATATGCCTAACCCTATATATAAAGTTACAACATGAGACCTAAAAAATATGGGTGCTTAATGATATCTGGAAACCTGAATCTGTCTCATACTTCAGCCAAAAAAGAGGCTTGTGGGGGTAGGAAGAAACAAATGGAACTCGTATATAGGTATACCTTTAAAAGGAGAAGGTATGTAAAATTAGTAATATGGAAAATAGTTTTTTGGAATATAATTATTAATGCCACTGATATTGAATGGGGTTTGCTCAAAAGTTGAAATACACCATGCAAAATAGAGAGTGGAAGGGAGAAAAAGAGCGGGAAAGAGAGAGAGAGGAGACAGGAGAGAGAGAAGCAGAAGGGAAGAAGGAGAGAGGGAAGGTGTGGGAAGAGGGAGAGGAGAGGAGAGGAAGAGATCAAGGGGAAGTAGAGATGAGAGAGATGGCAGAGAGAAGAAAGGTGGTAGGGAGGAGGCAAGAGGGAGAGGAGAAGGGTTGAATATGAAATAGACTATAATATGGTGAAGGGAAAGCAGAAGAGCAAATAACCATTGATTGGGCTTCATAGCAAGAGGAATTGATATATCACTGAATATTTTAAAAAATGTTTGTTAAGATGTAAGGTATACTTTGGATTATATGCATGTTAAAAAATAAAAATAAATTTTTTTTCAGAAAAAAAATATTCTGCAGACATAAGGGCACTTTTGCTGGCAAAAGCAACAAATTCTAGAACTCATCTCCATTGTACTATCAGTATGAGTGTAAAAGGCTCATGGGGAGCCTGTTAGTACCTTTTCCAACATACAAGTTGTGAGTAGCAGTCACTCATGTAAACTTTTGCTGCCATATTTTGCTAACAGGGATCTCCTCTCGCGGTGTCTCTTCATGTATATATTTATTTATTGCATCATGTCTGTGGCTGCCATTTCAAACAAGTGACTCTAGACCAGGGGTGCCAAACTCGATTTCTCTTGAGGGCCTCATCAGGATTGTGTTTGACCTTGGGGGGCCGGGGTGGGTGAGGCCAGCTCAACATCATTCGGACGGGCAAGGGGGCTGTGGAGGCCCAAGCGTTCTGCCAGCAAAAACAAGCTCCCAATCTCCATTTTTGACTGCAAGAGCCTCCCGCAACCCTCTGCCAGTGAAAATGGGGCTCGGGAGGGCCATAGGCAGCCTTCCCAAGATCTGTTTTCCCTGGCAGAGGCACTGCAGGTTGGTCCTTCATGGGCCCCATGAGCCAGATCCAGCCCCCAGGCCTTGAGTTTGACACCCCTGCTCTAGACAGCGAACAATCATACAATCCATTTAAACCAAATACAAACACAGTACAAAAAAAGTAGACCAGGAAACAAAGTCATTAATTTACTCAGGATCCCAGGCCTGGACACATAATCAGGACTTATAAATAGCCATCAGGATCACAACCAATTGATCTCAGGAGGTAGGATGTTCTGAGGGGGAAGGAGCAATAGCAGGAAAGGCACATCTGCTATTCCTTGGCAGCTGACATTCCTTGGCTGATAGGATCCAAGAATGTTTATCCTAGAGGTCCAAAGTGGATGAATAGAAACCCCAGGAGAATATAGTATCTCAGATATTCCCATGCCACGAAGGGCTTTAAAGGTGACAACCAGGATTTAAATTGCACCCAGAAACACACTGGCAACCAATGCAGTTAATGAAGCAGTGGTGTTACATGTGTTGAATAACTGGCACCATTTACTACCTGTGCTATTCTGCACCAGTTGAAGCTTCCAAATACTCTTCAAAGGAAACCCCATGTAGAGTGCATTGCAGTAATCTAGATGGGAGGGCCTGAGTGACTGTGAGCAGAGGCCTCCCAGGCCAGGAATGGGTGCAACTGGCACACAATACAAAGGTGCACAAAGGGTACCCTAATCACGGCTCCCACCTGCCAATATATCTATATCTATATCTATATCTATATCTATATCTATATCTATATCTATATCTATATCTATATCTAT